AAAGAAAAAGAAAAAAACACATTTACGACATCACATCAACAACAACAACAATGCCAAAGTGTACAAAACAGGATTCCTCTCATGTGAGCATAGTGTGACAGTGAACCTCATTGTAGTTGAGAACTGGACCTTTGATACACTGTTAATGCCACCTACTTAGGGAGCCTAAACAAATTGGTAACAGAGAATGATCTTTTTTAAGAGCATTCGAGCAAAGGAATGAATAGAAAACCACGATCGCCAATGTCTGTCGAAGATCTGGCACAGGATGATGATGATTAATGACGTCAAAAGTGAACAACAGTAGCAAAATCTGAAATACTACACAACAAAGGCAAACAGGGAAACGGCAATCTGCGCTCAAAGCTGTGAAAAAACATTGAAAATCAAAATCAAAGTTTCAGAAAAACAAAGGATTATAAAAATCTTATCAATAAGTAGTCTAAATCAGCTTTATTTGAGGAGAAAGACCAAATCATTGATCCCTTGGAAGTCCAGTTAGAAATTAAGAACAGAAAACTTAAAACCCTTCCAAAGGGAACAAAAGTCAGTCATTCAAAGTAACGTGCAATAGAGTTAGAGTCTGAATAGCCACAGGAGGCTGTTCAGATTTAAGTCTGAATGGCCACTTAATTTTCACAAACCTAACCCCCCCTTCTTTCACTTTTCCCAGAAGTGGTACCTGGTCCAAGGTTTCCTCAAAATTTCATTTCACTTTCAGTTTTCATTTCATTTTAATTAGTGTCATGACTTCTGAAGTTCCCGATTGTGATAATATGGAAAGGCAACGCCTTTCATGTGTTAGATGGGAAGCTTGAAACAGCTAGATGTTATCATGAGAATCAAAATGGTCAAAAGTTAGAGTACACCATTGAGAAATCTTGCTTTTAGACTTTTATATATATAGGCATATGATTCCTCTGACACTCTCACATGTTATCTTTCCTTTTATTGATCTTTACAGTGAATATGTCAGCAGGCATTTTTTGACTCAAAATGTACTTTTTAACTGTTTTCAGGAAAGACTTCTCTCATCAGAAGATACACAGAAGGTAATCTCAAAGCTTTTTAGGTATGGGGATTTAGTGGGGTGTGTTTCACATCTAGTACAAATATATTAACTTTGAGGCTGAAGTTTACAAGTAATATCTCAGATAAGGGCTCAGATAGCCCTGTTTGACTAACAGACCTGGGTACACCAATGGTAAATATTTTCTTTCAATTTGTTAACAGAGACTTTGGAATCTAGCTTTACCTGGGACACAACAGTTTTGAATTTTTAAATCCCTGTTTCAGATCTCTTTTGTGTAACTTAAGTTATGATGCATCAGCATGAAAAATTATTGCACTTTTCTGGCAAAGAGATATGATTAAATTACAGAAGTGTTTAGATTATAACTTTTTTCTGTTAAACATTGGACCTTGAGTTGATGTATCTGTCTGTTTACGCATTTGTATAGTATCAATGGTTTGTGTAAGACTTGCAGTGTTGATGTGACTTTTTCATAAAGGGTTTCATCACTTTTCTCTTTCTGTAAGTTGCAAGCAATGTAATCTAACATAATTTCATTTTTAAAGGATAATTGTTTTTGTGAAATTTTATCGCCCCTTGTTTAACTTATGTTCTTAAGGGGGTTCTTTTTTGCTGTCATGTTCTCATCATTATCTATCTCATAACTTTTTCATATTTTTTCCCCAGGTTATTTTTCACCTAATTATAAACTGACTATTGGTGTTGATTTTGCTCTGAAGTCTATCGAATGGGACAATTCAACGAAAGTCAACCTTCAGTTATGGTAAATAAATAACTTGTTTGTCAATAAAGTCAAGTGTGATTTTTAGAATTATATATACTGAAGTTGTTATTTGTTGAACACTGCTCCAAAGCAAATGAAACAGTCAGTTGTCACACATTGAGCTGCTTTAGGGTTTTTTTTCTGTGCTTAGCAGTGCTTGCTTATTTCAGCCTTCTATGGGCTTGAGATAAATAATTTGTTGAATGCTGCCTGTTGGTCCAAATCTTGAGGTTTGCTTTGAAGACACATGGATGGTACTGTATTTATGCCATATATATATATGCCAACGGCCATACATGTTCATGATGTTAGTTTAAATATCTGTTACAGCAAAGGCAAAGATTTAGTCTCTACTCATATACATAATGTATTTTAGGTTTTCTTTGCTACTCCTATTTCCTTTTTGGGTTTTATGTATGTTTATGCATCCATCAGCACAATTCATTTCATTTAGGAGGCTAGCTGTATGCTGTTTCAACCTTGCCTGTTGGGGCCAACTATGACTGAGTAGAATCCTGTATCACAGCATAGAGACAGAGATACTTCAGAATTTGAGAGTCATGTTCATTTTTCCTGTGTACAATAGGAAAGAGCCTAACTATTTCACCACTGAAGCCCGTTTGAGCATTGTAAGCTTCAACCCACTGAACAACTTATATAGTGAGCATCATAAATTTTCCTCTTCGGGCATATTGTCCCTTTCAATTTGATCAGCCACACCTAAGAAGCAGTATTAATTATTTATACTGATTAGATTCCTTATTCCTGGATAGGAATCAAATGGATTTATTTCAAAGCAGTGTGTTGGCCACATTTGTATGCATGTATTTGGGTCACAGTCTCGTAGGTTAATGTTATGATTCAAGAAGAGGCTGAAAGCACAGTGGTTGAGAAGCTAGCTTGCGTTAGTAAGTCTGTTCTAAGAGGTCTTTATTCTGGACTTGTGTCCCACTCAGCTTGGGTGGCCGTGACATGCAGGGTCAAAGCAGCCTGCTTCTGAATGATGCAAATTGCGTGAATGGGGGTGTTAAACATTCACTATCACACACTTGGCGTCGTTCCTTCACCCTCTCTGGACACAATTGGTTTGCTGCAAAGTTCATTTAAAGACTAAAGCAAAGGTCTTACTCAATGCCAGTCAGCTCTGTCAGTTTCTATTAAAAGGCAATGTGATGTATAATGTAGGCCTATAACTGCACACTGAGAATTTCGAAATAGTTTATGGTTATGCATAGTTAACCCTATAATCTGAAATTGAATGATATTTTTGCTCTGGATAGCAAATTTATGATTTTTAATAGATCAACACAAGTTTATTTGTTATTGTTGAAACTGACTTCTGTGTCGTGTCCTTTAGGGTATTCTGTTATCAGTTGTTCATGACGCTGCTTTTACTTGAATTCGAGGTCGAGTGGTCCTTATCAGTTACTATTATCTCACGCGTCCCAAGATTAAAGTGACATTATTGCTCTATTTTTATCATGTTCGTTTAATGACATCATTGCCAAGGTCTGTGATGTGCACATGAATTGTGCCGTGTTATCTTCTCCTTTCAGTTACAGTCATTCTCTTATATGTCTGTTCATTGATCATCTGTATGAGTAAAAAGAATTTGCTGCTACTAGCTACTTTTCAGAAGCTCTAATATAGCATAACTGAGATTTCCCGGCAAAGGAATAGCAGCTTTGGTTCTGTAATGGTTAGTCTCTTTGCCATTGCGCATAGCCGATGTGAGCTCAATACCCATGAGGCGGAGCTATTTTGTCTGTGTCTGTTAGCCTGTGGTGTATCGTATTTTGTTTGAATAGGCCTTGTCAGGCAGGTTTGAAGCTCCCTTCCTTCTAAATTACCTGAATTATGTCGATAGGGGTGTAAACCATGTACAATGATTGTTAGAAAATCATTACTCGTAGGGGAATATCTTGCTGATTTTGTATCAAAGTTTAAGTACAAAATATAGAATTCCATAGTCTATCTGTAACCAAAACATTGTATAAAGCCTTTGCTCTCAAATCTTGTCTTCAGATCTGCTTACTAAAATGGTGCACAATGTAGAAGATAGAATAAATGAAATGACTGTTCTTGACAATTTTAAAACACTCTCCTAGGTTGGTTAAAAATGCTGACATTATATCTTGTATTAATGAAGTTGTTGTTTTTTTCTCGTCTGATTTGTTATTGTTTGTGAAGTGAATATCAATTTTAGTCTGTATGATTGAAACAGCTCTTCAGAATCTCACTTTGTTTTTTACCATGAATTTGCACAGGGATATAGCTGGCCATGAAAGGTTTGGTCACATGACACGGGTCTACTACAAATATGCGTAAGTAGATCGTTGATTTTATTTACAAATGTATAAGCACAGTGTATGGGAACAAGTTAAGTGAGGGGAAGTAAGGGCAGGTTTTGTGGAATGAGTTGTGGGGTCATTGGATTTTAATAATTGGACTGTTTTTCCTCATGGTCAGTTGACATGAAATCATTTATTGTATCAAGATCTCCGACCTTTTTATAATGCGTTGCGCTCACCTTGTGTTTTGTTCCATTTTCAGAATTGCCGCTATAATCGTGTTTGACCTATCGAGGTAAGGATATTTCTGTCTGTCTGTCTCTCTTTCTCTCTCACTCTCTCTGTGCCTCTCTTATTGTCTTTCTCTCTGTTTGTCTCTCTCGCTTTCTTTCTCCCACACTTCCTCTCTCTTGCACGCGCACACCATGGGTCTCAATATATGCTATTTAGCGGATTTCCGCTACCACCATTTCCTCTGCTAAACTCCGCTACCCAGTAATGCGCCACCACTTTCTGTACATGATCAAGATTGTAAGTATTTGGTAAGTGACTTTTACTTGAAATTATCTTCCAAACGCTCAAATTGGTTTGAAATAACCTTGCTTTGATAAATTCCTGGTTTTTATTTCAGTATTTTGGGGTTAAATAGTATAATAATAATGGGTGTCTCACGGAAATGTTCTTCTGTCGCGATCATGCGGAAAGCTCCTCCTTTTTTAAAATTCTGAGTTGAGACCCATGACACACAAATTCGTAGACCAACACAAACAAAGACATCATTGCATGGATATACAGATATGCCTCTAGGCTGCCAAGCTTCCTTAACTGTATCAATGCGCTTCTCATTACTTGTGAAAAAGGAATAATAATAGATTATAATAGACTGTATTTATTTGCAGAATGGTACATTCATTTTTATAATAGTTACCAAGTTAATCTGCTTTTTTTTACTTTTAAATACACTTTGAATGCTTGCTTATCATTTTGATCATACCTAATGGGATTCTTGAGTACTGAATAATAGTTTTAAAATAGTAACACAATGTTTATATATTTTCATCCACAGGCCTGCCACATTCGACTCAGTGCTTAAGGTTAGTGTCCCCAGCACAGTACAAGACTGCTGTGAAGATTGGAATTTTGTTAATGAGAGTCTCTCTCTCTCTCTCTCTCTCTCTCTCTCTCTCTCTCTCTCTCTCTCTCT